AGAGTGAGTAGCATGACACCAAAGCCAAATACTATAATGAAAAGATTGACAAATTTGACAACACAAGAAGTTTCTGCTTTTCTATAGTTAAAATTCTAGACACAGTTAAAAGATAAGCCAAAGGCTGAGAGAGAAAGTTTTTAAGTATAGAACAGACAAGGACCTTTTTTTTGATATTGACAAAGTTGTGGGAAAATGGGTATTCTCACTCACCATTTGTAAGGTATAAGTTAATGTTATAACTCTTGAGAGAGCAATTTTCCAAATATATGAGAAACTTTTGATGTAGCAATTCCAGTGCTGAGAATGTATCCTAAGGAATGAATGGCAAACGTGTAAAAATTTTTTATAAGAATCCTCTTTGTAGTATTGTAAAATGTGAACTATTCTGAACATTTATCTATAGGGGATCCAGTAAATAAAGTACATTCCTCTGTACAATGGAATACTAGCTACTATGCAGCCATTAAAAAGGATAATATACATCTACATATTGACACAAAAAGATGTCTGAAAAATATTAAGTGAGAAGCATTTTACGGAACAGTATGCGTAGTACATATCTATAATTAAAAATACCCATTTGTAAATGAGATACATTATATGTATATTGTAAATGTATATGTATGTATAGGGGAAAGTCTCTAATGATACACTCCAGACATGTTAACAGTAGATATGAAATTTTGAGAGATTTACATTTTTTATTTTGTAGATTTCTGGTTGTTTAAACTTTAATATTTGTTTCAAGATGTATTACTTTTGTAGAAAAAAGAAAAGTGATTTATATTTTGAGAAAGAAAAAAGAACATTCTGAAGGAGCTTTAAAAAGTTCTGTTTACCCCTTTGCAAATACTTACTCCACACTATTTCAAGTTTCTTATTTCTTAGCTAACCCAAAAAAGCAGGCTGATTAAATGAGAAGGATATGTCAACAACAGGCAGTCGTCTGTTTGCTTATATTCACTAGTTGTGTTATTTGTCTGTCTGTTTATAGTTTATCTCTTCCTGCTAGAATCTAAGTCTCATGAGAACAGAGACTCTGTTTTTGTCCCTGCCATATCTCTAGGATCTAGAACAGTGCCTGGCTCAGAATAGGTGCTCAATAATATCAAATGATTGTGTGAATAAGTGAAAGAGGGTTCTAGCCTGGATCTATTGATGGGGTCCTTCTTTGCCCTTCATTCCCCTTCTCCTTTGTTCTTATTTCCCAATGACCTTTTTGCTTCCCTCCCCCAACTCCCATGATAATTCTCACCTTACCTAGTGTTCGTCTTCCTGTCTCCCTCACTGCTGGAACATCACTGAGCCTCTCTTTTTCTCCTAGCACCAAACCTAAAAGAAGCCTGGTTCCTGGGCTCCCGGTGATACCCACTTAAGCTTATACCTGACTGCCTGACCTTTAGCACTCGCTCTACAACCCTAATTAATATCCTATCTTTCTGGTTTCTCTTAGGAGAAGGGATGTTACTGTGGTTCCTCCCTTTTACCTTTCTTTCTCTCCTTCCCACAACATCATTTCAGTTGGTTTCATCAGCTGCTGTTCTTCTGGGAATTCTGCTCCCCTCCCAGTATAGTTGCTACCGGTAGCCCCAACTGCCTGTCGGTGCTGTTCACATTGCCTGAAATGGATGTTATTGTTATTGCTCCTGTATGGTGGTGGTTTATCTGACTGCGGCACTTCTACTTGGCCACAGGGTCACCTTCTCCCACCCTCTACCACTGTCCCACCTTATACCCTTTTATTCCTACCTTCTCCAGTCCCATAACAGGAAGGGAAATGGTTGGCCTGCCTTTGGAAGGGTAGGGGGAAAGCGGTAGTAGGGCCCTGAGTTCCATTTTAAGTGACTAAGTTCACTTACCCATATACCTTCCCACACTATCCCTCCCTCTTTTGGGAAACACCTCTAGTAGTCCCTCTGAGATGCCAGCAACCTCAGTCACAGGCACCGTGGATGATGTATTGTGATTTATCACATTTGTATTTGTTATTGCATATATGCTGTACTGTGGGTGAACTGCTTCATGGATAGTAGGCAGAGAATATAACCATCATTATAATACTGTTTCTTTGAAAAAAGTGTTCTGGGTGTAAAATATAATAGTTAGTTGACTACTAAACTTTCTTACCTTAACCTCTTTTTAAATTAGGAATTCTGTATTTGGTGGTGATATATTTTAAGCCAAATATTAAGACTTGCTGATTGATCGGCGAAGTGTACACACACACAAAAGTGAGAAATAATATTTTTATTTAATTTTTAAAAGTAATAAACTGAGTCGTCTCTACCACAATTAATTTTTAAAACTAGTATAAATTCCCAAGAGTATAAATAAATTCTTTTCTCAATTTTCAGGATCTTAAGGCTTTTACAACATTATGAAGAGAAGAGCTTTAAGCCATTTAGAATCAGAATTTATTTTATTAATGATGAAATATGATTTATCTTCATTACTAGCCACTTTAATTTAGATTTGGATTTATAATACAACTGCAATATACAAAGTTAATCTGCTCAATCAGCAGTGAGTAAAGTGCACATAGAGCCAAAGTAACTCATTCAGCACCTATTATATGCTAGACATTGTTCTAGGCACAGCATATGGGGGGCAGACAGGCAGAAAGGGCAAGCAAAAACCCATTTCATATAGCCAGCAAAATGTGTATACATTCACCCTTTCCTTAGAAATCCAACTTCTAATAGTAATCTACTCAAAATTATTTGGCAAAAATATACAATTTGGTGTAATTCACAGGGCTATTTGTAATAATAATAGTAAATTTATCATAGTATTAATAAAATACTAGAAATAATCCAAATGTCAATCTGCTAATAAGCCATGGTATAACCACACAAGAGTCCCATGAGGCTGAAAAGGCATGATGAAGATATGCTGCTATGAAATGATCTTCCTGATACATCGTCAAGTGAAAAAACTAAATACAGTTGATAATACCTTTTATGTAAGGGTGGCAATAGATATTTATACATATTTGCTTATTTTATAAAAGAAACAGTGGAAGAATAAACAGAAATTTAATAAAAATGATAGGTGAAGGAAAGGAACAAGGATAGAAGCTAGACTTTTTTGATCAGATCAAATATAATAATTTTGACTTTGAAACCATATAGATGTTTTACATAATTTAAAGACACGTTAATCCCCCCAAAATGTATTTATTTTTTTTATTCTACCCTATTTCTAGCTACTCCTCAAATTTAAAAAACCTGAAACAAATGAACCTACTTGTATATCAAATAGATAACATAATCACACCAAAAATTACTTTGAATGACTTTAAGACATTGCATCTTTGGTGAGTTTATTCTAAGGACAAAAAGAATCACAAAGAAATCCTTAACTATATTTAGTAATATTGTTAGCAGTAATATTGGCACTTATACTTTACATATA